AATTTCAAGTACTTTTTAATTTTTAATATGTAACCTATTCGACATTAAGTATTTTTCAGGAATGTTTGACGCAAAAACTATGATGATTTAGACCTGCACACTTCTACACTATGCATGATAGCTCATTTGTGGTTAGCACTAGACTAGGCGGTAGCTAGAGTACTTGCACTACGAACTCCCACCAGAGGACTTCTATTCATGGAGATTCTTTCTGATAGGATATACTAGCTCATTTTATTTGACCTTAATATTGACATCTAATTTTCTCATCATTGATTTTAAGCAGGCATCGACATACACATCTAGGACGTCTTTTACCCTCACTTTTACCACTCTTCGTCGTCCTAGATGACCAGTTTATCTTTATCTGGTACCATACCCTAAACCCAAAACCCTTGTTTTCAATCCTCATGCATTCTCTCTTTAGTTTATATCAGCAGATATGTGCAAAAACGTCGGAGAGAAGAGGAGCAACGCAGTTTTCAGTCACTCACAAAGGAGACTGGATGGAATTGGGAAGGAAGAGTATCAGAAACCTCATAAAGCTTTACAAGACAGATATTAACTGGTAATTTCGTGCTCTCTAAGACTCTATATCTAAAGGTGTTCCCTCTCTTCAAAAAAAAAAACAAATGAAAAAGAGAGAGGGAAACAAAAAAAGCATAATGAGTTTTAGATTGTCGAAATCTGTGGAGCAAGAAGCATCTACTAAGCGTTTATAGAGCTATGTTTTTGAAAGATTTACAAAAATCTAAGTCTGGGGGAGTTAGGAGAGAACCTGAGGAAGAAGACCAAGAATCTATGGCAAGAAGAAAGTGACTGAAAACTGTGGATACCAACAGCTTCACTCTCTCTTGTGGTTTTGCATAATATCCTGCATCCTCCAGATCTTCAGGTAACCCGTAAACACTTTACCCTTACCCCTAGAATAATCCTTTTTTGACACCTAGCCTAGATTGCCTTGCCAAGATTTTTATTGATGAGAACCACCGAGATTTTTAATGAATGCTAAGAGCTAGTTGACTGGAAGTAAGATCTTAGTGCATAGATTTCCGCATGACGGATTAACGGACTAGTTATGCCTGTATTACTAGTGAGAATTTTCTATGCTATTCCTGATTGATGCATACTAATTGATATTGGTCTAGAAGTTTGGTCTCTGAGATTTTGTTTATTTCCTGCGTTTTCAAACCTCTCGCCGAGATTTAGCCTTTGTTTTGTTTGAGGACAAACAAAAGACTAAGTCTGGGGGAGTTGATAACACCGGATTTTGACCATTTTTATGGATCACTTTAATATCTTTTACAGGTGTTTTTACTCCATTTCCAAAGGTTTTCGAAGGATTTCTATGTTTTCGGATTTTAAAAGACTTTTCAGGTAATTTGGGATAAAGAGGCACAAATTGGAACAAAAAGACTCTTTTGGATAAATGCAGACCGTCAGAACTCTCATGGAGAGACGAAGACCTTCTCACCACCTGATCACCCTCAAAATTGGACAACTTATAGAAGAATCAACCAGATTTCAAATGCACTTGGTTTGGAGACATTCCAACGGTTGGATCTCAAGATATTCCATTAGCCCCGAAGCCACTCGAAGACGGCCAGCAAGTCACGTGGCCGCGGCCAACAGCCCATTTCCCGCGGTCAGAAGCCTCCCGACCGCAGCCAACCACCTAATCCCCGCGGTCACGTCATTCCCGACCGCGGCCATCAAGCTCCGAACTAAAGCCCATATTTCTGAAGCCCAAAGTCATTCTCAGCCTCAATTTCGGAACCCTAGAGACCGTGGAGTATTGAAGACTATAAATACTTGTCATTTAGGTTGTTTTTAGCAACAACCCTTCATACTTTACAGAAACCCTTTTCCTTTAGCCGTTTTTATGCGATTTTTGTAGAAGATTGTTCAAGTCCGAGTTCTTCAATAGAGAAGCTTTCTTAATCTCTTTTCTTTACTGTTTTTCATTACTTTTATTAAAACCAATGATGATGTCGACCTCATCCATGTCTGAGTAGATCCCGAGTTGGGCTTAGGGTTCCCGAAAGGGGCTCTCATAATCGATTAAGACATCTAGGTTTATAGATCTGGGATTTCGACCTATTCTCTGTTTATTCTTGTTCTTATTGCATGTATGCTTGATTGATCACCTAGTATCTGATCTAGATAGTTAGTGTTGCGAAAGTTTTCATTAAGTATTAGCCCTAGAATGAAACAGGCAATTTTTCCGTAGGAGTGGAAACGTACCTGCGGCGAGATCGTGAGTATTGACGAGTCTTGTGCAGCTCTTGTGTTCTCTCCCTTCCAGGGCCAGAGTGGAAACCTACTGGTCAGGGTTGCGAGAAACAGTTGGTTATGATCATGACAGTGACATAGTCATACCGCCATACTCTAGCTCTAGAACCACCTATATATCGATATCCGTCAATCCCAATCTATCTACCCTAGTGTCAAAACCGATTATGATCCCTTAGAGTTCCCAAAAGCTCAGCGTTTTTAGTCATTAGTTTACAAACAAATCGATTTTTATTTGCTTATTTAGATCTGCATTTTAATTACTTTAATTCGATATTTTACTTGCTTTACTTGCTTTCCATTCGATTTTTCTACTTGCTTTCTAGGATAGATTTATTTGCTTTCTTTAAGTTTTAGTTTAATTCGTGATAAACAACCAACCTTTAAAACCAATCTAGTTTAGATATAAAGTTAAAAACCGTAGAAGAATACCAGGCACACAAATCTCTGTGGATTCGATCCCTAAATACTACAACTGATTAGCTGTGCACTTGCGGCTTTCATTTGTTTTGTTAAGAGTAAAACTTGTTCCCTCACGCAGTTGACACGACATCATACAGGTCATATGAAATAGAGTACTTTGCAGCCAAGAATCTTGAGAGGCACGAGGAAGGAGGCAATTGCGGCGTAAAACCAGATTTAAGATCGAAGCACCTGAATCTCCAGTGATTAATTCCACATCGTGATCCTGAGAATCTGAATGATAGTCATCAAAACGTGGTGCTCCGTCGTCATCTTGATCTTGAATCATCAAACCTCGACGATTCTGATTTAGACATGCGGTTTGGCGGTGTCCTGTTTCCTCGCATGCAAAACACCTCAGAGCATTAGGGCGAGCTGGCCATGATGCTGCAATCAAATCCGATGCCACATGGGTTTTCATTTAGGGTGATCTGTTCTGCGACGGGTCGGCCAGAGAAGTAGAGAATGCGTCAGGTGTGGATGTTGTTTGAAACCGAGAACGTGCACCAGACATCGTCCAAGACGATCAAAACTGAATCTCCATGGCTCTTGATCGCTGATGTGCCTCTGAAACTGTAGTTAGATTAAACTGTTGTAAAGCATTTTGTATCTGAGAGCGTAACCCTCCAATGAAACGTGAAACGAGCTGCTCCTCTGTTTCAGTCAGCGTCGTTCTGGCCACCATATTAAAGAATTTTGTTGCATAGTCATCTACCAAACGATTTTCTTGCCGTAGGTTCTGCAATTTATTGTAAAGTGTACGTTCATAGTTGTAAGGAAGAAAGCTGCGTATCATATGTTTCTTCATTCTCTCCCAAGAGTCAATACGAGGCTTATTCTCATGCCGTCGTGACTCTTTCAACTGCTGCCACCACGCCATGGCACGACTCTTAAAACGATTTGCCACCAAAGAAACTCTCATCTCATCCGGGACTTGCTTGAACTCGAGAATTTCTTCCACAACATTCAACAATTCAAGGAAATCTTCCGGGTTTAAAGTTCCTACGAATTCTGGAATGTCCACCTTAAAACAAGAATCCCAACGAGAAGAATTAGGCTGGTGCAGAGCTTGACAATTGTCATAACAATCATCTCTGTCGTCTTCACGATGAACATGGCGTTGATTATTGTGTGCTTGACGATGACAAACCTCATGATCAGGGTCTGCGAACAGATTCTCATGCAAGAAATCATCGTCAGATTCACCATCGTGAAAGTCATGGTGCTGCTCCCGTCGTCCATGAAAATGGTCATGTTGATCTGCCAAAACGGTGGTTAAAGCTTCTTCTACTACTGATTTTAACGCACTCTGTAGCCCAGAGGTGAAGTTTTCCAGCGTTTGCTGAATCTCCTCATGTTGCTCTTCCACGGTAGGTTTGCGAGGAGCCATGATAACAAGGACCAAGCTCTAATTAAGAATTTAAAGCTGCTGGAATCTGATACCAACTGATGTACTCAAAGATAGTAACCGATAGATATCTGCGTAATCGATTGTTTAGTCTACGAATGCCCAAACAAATCACGCAACTTGAGAGTTGAGAACCTCTTGTTCTAGCCGATATCAAGGGTTTAAGAAAGCAGAGCTTCTTTGATTAATAATAATAGGGAAGACGACTTATTTCCCCCCGAGAACTATGACATAGTAATAGATCCCCCCATAGTTTGAGCTTCGTCTTATATAACCCTGTTAAAAGTTTCCACACCAATTACCCCCTAATGGTATCTTTGTAAACATTTTTAACCCGAATTGTAAAGTTTGTAATCAAAAATCCCGCTAGACCGTAATTTGTAGTGGTTTACTGTTTACCAGATTAAAGTTAACCGTCTAATGAAACTTATAAACCGAATTAAGACCCGATTAGAACACAAAACCAGGATTTGACCCGATTAGAATAACTCAACCAGGATTTGACCCGATTTTATAACTTAACCCAGAAATTGATTTCCCCACTTTCTAAAATCCCCAAATTCGACGAACCCTAAATTTGACGAACCCTAAATTTGACGAACCCTAAATTTGACGAACACTAAATTCGACGAAGCAGAAAATCGAGCGAGTGAGAGCCTTGTAATCTCGATTCGACCGAAGCTCTTCAATCTGCGTCAATAAAAACAAGGTACGCTGCATCAATTTTGTAACTTTTTGTCGATAACTCGAAAATCTCGGTGGCTGTATCTTTCGACGAATCTCTTGGATTTTTAAACCATATTTTTTCGACGTTTATGGTGTGGTGTAGATTCAAGGGATGTCGATTGTTGAATGGCATAGTGTGCCCGCATTCCAGGAAGAATTTCCTGGTTTTGACTCTGATGGTGAAGATCGTCAAGAGCGTTACGAGTACGACATAGAGGAAGCTTTGACACAATTCACCGATGGACCTCCTATCATGCATAATGTGTATCCTGATATACCGAATGAAGGAACTGAAGAGCAACAAGCAAGGAAGAGGCGATACAATATAAGAAGAGGTGATGGGAATTTGTTCAAAGGGCAATTATTCACCAGCGGTATTGCGTTTAAGGAGGCTGTGCTCGATTATGCTCTCAAAACTGGCTACAATATCTCGCAAAACAAGTATGACAAAACCAAGCTGAGCTTCACATGTGGCGGTGAAGGATGCTCATGGCGCATCTATAGCTCAATTTCTGGTAAGTCTGGTACGTGGCAGGTGGTAACATTTCAGTCGAAGCACACATGTGTCCCTAATGGGAAATGCAAGATGTTGAAGGCTCCTGTGATTGCTCGTTTATTCTTGGACAAAATAAGAGAAGAACCTGAGTATTACATGCCTATGAAGCTTGAAGAAATGATTATGGAGAAGTGGAGGATCTCTGTCTCAAGGCCTCAATGTCAACATGCTAGGAACAAGGCATTGAAATGGATTGCGGTAGAGTATGCAGAGCAGTTTGCTCGGCTAAGAGATTATAAGGCTGAGTTAGAGCTATCGAATCCGAATTCTTCTGTGGTGGTTGACTGTGTGACAAATGATGAGGGACAACATGTTTTCCAGCGGTTTTATGTGTGTTTTGATAATCTGAGGAAGTCCTGGAAACAACATTGCAGACCGCTTATAGGTGTTGATGGGTGCTTTCTCAAAACGGTTCAGAAAGGCGAGCTGTTCATAGCCAATGGTCGAGATGCTGATAATCGGATCTACCCCATTGCTTGGGCTGTAGTTCAGAAAGAAAATACTAATAACTGGTCATGGTTTTTTCAGAAGATCAAGGCTGATTTAGAACTTGGCGATGGTGATGGTTATGTCTTGGTTTCTGATCGTCAAAAGGTAAAAATCACTTATATTTTTCCTCTTGTCATTTTAGTATTGAGATTAATCGCTTAGTCAATTGTGTATTCCCTTTTAACTTTGTACTAATGTTTAATGTAGGGTTTTCTTGCTGCTGTCAAGGATGAGCTACCTAAGATTGAACACAGAATGTGTGTCAGGCACATCTACATGAATTTGAAGGCTCGGAATGCAAAGAAACCCGAGTTGAAGGGCTTGATCTGGAATTTAGCTTGGAGCTATAATGAACCAGAGTTCAGAGACAATCTGAAGAAGATTGAGCTCTTTGACGAAGCTGTTTATGCTGATCTGATGAAGACTAAGCCCGAGACTTGGTGCAGGGCCTTCTACAAATTAGGAGTTTTGTGAAGATGTGGAGAACAACTCCGTGGAATCCTTTAACAACTCTATAGGTATGTCTCACTGTTAGCTCTTTATGTTTATTTTGATGGGGTTTTTAAGACTATAGGTTCATATTTGTTTCAGGTAAAGCCAGAGATAAGGCTTTAGTACCGATGCTTGAGACCATTGCAAGACTTGCAATGGTTCGTATAGCTAAGAGAAGTGCCCAAGCTGTTAGCCACGAATGGTTATGTACTCCATACGTGAGTAAGTATTTAGCTGAGTTGCATGAGGATGCTTCGAAGTGTATTGTCCAACCATCGACCAACATGAAGTATTATTCAAGCCTCCATGGATGTGCTTACCGAGTTGATTTGGTGGAGAGGACTTGTACCTGCAGAAGATGGGAAATAACCGGCATTCCTTGTGAGCATGCCTACGGCGTGATGATTCACAAGAAAATGGAAGCTCAGCACTATATCTGCCATTGGTTTAGGACCCTTACGTGGAGAAATCTTTATACAGATGGTGTAGTTCCAGTCAGAGGTGCTCGCTTTTGGCCTGTAGGAGAAGAACCCTCGATAGTGCAGCCACCGGTACCAGACATGCCTGGCCGTAACAAGGTGAATAAGGCGGATAAAAAAAGGAAGAAAGGACAAGCTGAATCTCCGGTTAAGAAGAAGAAAGACAAGTTGCTGAAGAGGATCATGCATTGCAAAGTTTGTGGAGCTGCTAATCACAATTCACGGTTTCACAAGAAAAAGAATAAGACAACAATGGTTAAGTCTTATCTTCTCTTTATGTTGACTAATGTCTCATCTTCTCTCTATAGTAATGTAACTTTTTCTTTGTTTTTTGCAGGCTTCTCTAGGTGAATCATCATCTCAGCCGGAATGTTCTCAAGGAGTTCTTACTCAGCTTGGAGAATGAAGATTAGGATCGTGTAGTTTTTTGGACCTGTTTGGTCTCTTTTCTTTTTTTCTTTTAACCTGTTTTAGGTGTTTTGGAACCTTGTTACAAAACCTTCTCTATTTGGCATTTTTTTCGAACCTTTACTGGTCTGTGGAGTTGCATAATGCCTAGGTTTGTAAACAACTCAGATCTTTATTTGGCATCTATTTTCGGGCATGTTGTGTCTGTGGCTATAAATGATGTTAAGGTTATCTTATTCAGCATATCTTATGTTTACAACTGAATCAGGATATGTTAAGACTCAGTTTACAATTTAGTCAATATATCAAATGAGTGTAACACAAATATCAAAGACAAATGCAAATTGATTCAACCATTACCACATGAGTTTCAAACAAGTACCATTACCACATGCCTTTCAAACCCAAAAAAAAAAACGTCAAACAAGCTTTCCAAGAGTACAAATAAACTACAAATAAGCTTCAAACAAGCTTGCTACAACCAAGGATGATCACACATCCAAAACACACAAGCAACATCAATTTCTTCATTTCGGATTTTGCTTCAAGAACTCTTTCTTCCACTCGTTCAACAATCTCTTTCTCTAACTTCAACTCAAACTTCTCATACATCTGCTTCTCTACCTCCATACGATCTGTAGCTATTGGTTTAACAGCTTCTTCAAGTCTATCTATTCTAAACTTTGAAGCCTCAATCTCATTCAACAATGCTTCATCAACCCACTTGAAAGTGTGGTTGTCATTGACAAGCTACATCAGATCATAACCACTACCACTCAATTTCGGATAAATTTCATAAATTCAGATAATGACAAAGCTAAAAGAAAGGGAATCATACCTTTTGCTCAACCGCAAACCCACAACGGTAATATCTCCGGTATGGGTTAGAGTCAGACTTAGAAATTCTGGCCACAATGCCTTCTCCACACGAACATCTCTTAGGCACCCCCACACATCTCCCTCTTCCTCGACCACCTGATGCTGCACTCGAAGCTCCCGAATCATGGCTCGTCATCTTCGAGTCTACAAAAAAAAAAATCATCAAACCCAGAAAATCGAGTGTTATGAAGTTTCTAAACCTATGTAATCGACCTTAATAAGCTCGAATCAAGTAAGAACACCTATCCTAACAACAAACTCACAATCGCTTAAGAAATACGAAATTTCGGGATTTAGGGTTCGTCAAATTCAATTTGGGGATTTTAGGATGTGTCGGGTTTTTTATGTTCAAATCGGGTTTTAAAGGGTCGGATCTTCAGTTTGGTCGGGTTTAAAACTCGTTCTGGTTTCCAGCAAACCTGGTTTTCTATCTGGTTTAGCACAAAAACCATTCAAATCAACGGTTCTGGTTAAAAATGTTTACAAAGATACGATTAGGGGGTAATTGGTGTGGAAACTTTTAACAGGGTTATATAAGACGAAGCTCAAACTATGGGGGGATCTATTACTATGTCATAGTTCTCGGGGGGAAATAAGTCGTTTTCCCATAATAATATGAGTTGTAACCTTACAAGTCAAAGGATCAACCTTATTGATAATTCTTCTAAAATCCTTAACCGACTTAAGATTCGGTCAATAATAATAAAAGTAAAAATGAACACCAATAATATCAAAGAAAAAGGAAAAGAACAACAAAAGGAAAACTAAAGTCCAACACCAAAATGGAAACAGAGTCTACGCTGCATCAGTAGGGTAACTCCTGGTTTGGTCGGATAAAAGGCAATGTGGCTTGACTAAATTCTTCATCAAAGGTGGTTGGTCGGTGATATGCTCTCCCTCAGTTGATATGGTGCATATGCTACTGTATCTCCTTTACCTGATGCACACACACTGAGATCGATGTTTCCTCACCAGCACCGGTTGTTGAAGACTTATTCACCTATTCCGCGTCTTCAAATGTTGAAGCTGTCAATTCTATTGTTCCTGTTCTGGGTCGAGAACAACGTCCAAGACCACAGCCCAAGAAGCTCTCCAATTATTTGCTTTACAGCAGCAGTTGCCTAAATAATACACATCTTTTATAATTGTCCCACATCAGCGTCTCTGATTACGTTCCCAGGTACGACACTATACCTCCTTGAAACTTATATTTCTGACGTTCTGTTTTTCTCTGGTCATCAAGCTTTTCTAGCAGATATTATTGCTGGCGTTGACCCAAATAACTATAAGTAAGCTCTCAAGGATAAGGTTTGGTGTGATGCAATGCAAAAGGAAGTTGGTGCTTGTGAATTTTCTCGTACTTGGGATGTTGTTGATCTCCCCGATGGCAAGGAGGCACTTGGTAATCAGTGGGTATTCAAAATTAAGTATAATGCTGATGGTTTGATCGAACGATGCAAGGATCGTTTAGTGGTTCTTGGCAATCATCAAGTAGCCAGTGAAGATTTTACGGAGACTTTTGCTCATGTGCCAAAAATGAGAACAGTTTGTAACATTTTAAAGTTGGTGGTTGCGAACAACTTGGGAAGTACATCAGATGGATGTGCATAATGCCTCCTTATATAGATCTTGAGGAGGAGCTTAACATGAAGCTTCCATTGGGTTTTCGACACTTGGATCCAGAGAAAGTGTGTCGTTTGATAAAATTTCTTTACAGTCTCAAACAAGCACCACATTGTTAGTTTGCTAAGCTCACAGTTGCTTGAAAGGAGGTTGGTTAGATTCAATCATATTCAGACTATTCGCTTTTCACATACTCTTGCGATGTTGTTGAAATTCGAGAACTCATATATGTTGATGATTTGCTAATTTGCGGAAATAACTCTGCTGCTTTATCAAAGTTTCAAGACTATTTGTGATGTTTTTTTTAAGATAAAGGATCTTGGCAAATTAAAATATTTTTGGATTTGGAGGTTGCCTGCAATGAAAAGGGATTGTCTTATCTTAACGCAAATATGCTTTGGAGAATATATCAGAAGCTGGCTTGCTCGGTTCCAAACCAGCTACTTTTCCCATGGAGCATAACCAGCACTTGGCTACAGATACAAGTCCACTTTTACCTGACACATTGCGCTATCAACGTCTCATTGGCCGCCTCATTTATCTGCTCATCACATTGTGAACATTGTGAACATTCTTTCTCAGTTTATGTAGATGCCGTGTGAGGGTTATTGGGAACCTGCATTGTGTGTTGTGCCCTATCTAAAATCCACTGCTGGTCAGTGTTTTTTTGTTTTAGTTATGCTGCAGACTTGACTCTTACTGCTTATTGTGACTCAGATTATGTTGCTTGTCCATTTACACGAAAATATTTGAATGTGTATTTGATGTTTCTTGGTGGTTCCCATATCTCTTAGAAAACTCAGAAACAAGGCATGGTCTCTCATTCTTCCGCTGAAGCAGAATATCTTTCAATGTGTAATGCTTTAGATGAGACTATATGGTTGTGACAACTTTTTACCTAGCTCGGCTATCCTCAGAGTCAACATGTTCGTATTTTTGTGACAGTTAAGGGGTGAATCACATTGCTGCTAACCCGGTAACTACAAGAAAACATGTGATTCCCAATGAGCATATCCGTCGGAAATTCGTCTGGAAAAGGTATTTTCGACGAATTTCCGATGAACTGTGAAGGTCGGAATCATCTTATCAGAAATTTCCAACGGATTTCCGAAGAAATCATTATTCCGACGGATTTCCGACGGGCTTAACATTTCTGACCGAATTCCGAGGGACGTGGTATTCCCGACTATTTTCCAATGGCCCTATGATTCTCGACGGATTTCTGACAGCTCTCCAATTTTGTCATTTACTGACGGATTTCCGACAAAATTAGTTTTCCCACAAAAATCCGAGAGATAGAATTTGATAATTTTCGACGAATTCCCGACGGATTTCCGGTGAAGTGTTTTTTTTTAGTTTATGACGGATTCCCGACAGTGTCCAATTCCCGACGTAGTTCCGACGTAATTTTTTTTTTAATTTTCGACCGATTTCCGACCACTCTTGTATTTTAATAAAAAAAATTATTTTATATATATTTAATTGAAATGCTTAATTAAAATTAAATTTGAAATTCAATTTTATAAATAAAATAAAATTCATACAAAATATTAAATATCCAAATTACAAAATGAAAAAATGAAACAAAAAAATCAAATTTATTTCTAATTTCCTATTCACGTACTTCCGGATGTTCCTGTAATTCCGCCTGTCCCCGAACTTGGTCCCAGAAAATCAGGAAACTTCGACCTCATCCAGCCCCACATGGTGGCAAGCTCCTCTTGCATATCGCCTAGCTTCATCTCTGTATCCTCCTTAGCTTTCTCCAAAGCTGCTACTTTCTCCTGGAGCGCTTAGTTCTGCTCGATAAGATCTTCTGGAACCTGACTAATGCCCAATGTCTCCTCCTTGTATAGTACTTTCCCAAGACTACGTCGACATCCTTTATTGACAGGAATTACCTGCAAATATCAAACAAATATTTATAATTAACAAAATTATAAAAGAAAGAGCACTTTAATTATAAAAGAGAAACAAAAACAAACTTACTTCGCAAGCCCGGCGGTTGATTTCCTCGCACGGGAGAATGACGGGCGAAGAAGAATCACCTTGTGACTCTTGGCTGAGTTCTTCATCCACCTTGTAACAAATTGCAGCTACAAGAGGATCTTGAATTACTTTGGTGTTCTTGTTTGTGTGACACCCCTTCATCAGCTCTAGATGATTTGGAAGCTCTCCTCCTGCCGCCTTTGTCTATAAAAAAACTTATAAATAAAATTTTTACAAGGAAAAAACTAATATACAAAAGTATTAAAGAGAAAAAAATATTACTATTTGGTCTTCTCCACTCAAAAAAACTCATCAAACCGGAGTTGTGAATGTATTCTCCTTTGTCGTCTCGTTGACTCTTCTTGTTTTTGGATTGTCTCTTCGACATCTTCTCTGTCTCTCGCTGTTGCCAATAAGGTATGAATTGTTGCCACAGAAGGATTCAAACTTTTCGGTTTTTCTTGACCTTTCCTCCACTTCTGTTTCAACTCGTACATGTGGTTAGAGTATTGCGTAGCACACTCATCCAGAAACAACTTCTAGATAGTTTTAGTGAGACTGCTATGCCAAGTAAACTCTTGCCAAAAATTAATTTAAAACATGTTATTGTTAGATAATACTAAATAAAAAAATTGTTAGTTATAATACTGATAACTAAAAACTTACCGTAAATTGTTTGAACAAAATGTTTTTCTCTTCGACAGGAAGATCAGAGAACGTCGGGTATGGCTTATCGAGCATCGAATGCAGCATTTGTAAAATGCATTTGCTAATCCCGTTGTTTGAATATCCAAACCTTTACAAAAAAAAACTTATTATTTTCATAAAACATATTACAATAAGATTAAAAGTTTAAAATTTTTATTTACCAAGTCGCATTTCCTCGACGGAAAGGATCAAGCACCGTGCATAACTCTCACCCTGGCTGTAGAAATAAATCGTTGATACTATCGTAGAATGCCTGGGAAGACAGAGAAGGCACGGAAGACTCCGGGATCCCCGGGATGTCATCAGACATGTCCGGGATGTCACTAGACTCCGGGATCACCGTCTTATGAGTCCTCTACAAAGATCCATGATTGGTACGTCATTCTATCGGACTGAGACGATATATCAGATGTACGAGCCAGAAATTCCCCGTATTGAGACAATGACCTTTAATGAAATTCTGAAATTAAAGTTATAAGAATATATAATTTGAAAAACATATAATAGTTATTGTAAAAACAATTTTCTTGCAGTTTGATAAAATATACATATGCAGGTACATCCCCTCATATTTTCTCGCAGTTTGACAAAATATACATAGGTAGGTACATCCAACATATAATAGATAACTTAGAAACTATTTGCGTATTTGCGACATGTACATCCTCTCATATTCTAAAATTTCATCGCAGTTTGATAAAATATACATATGCAGGTGCTGTTGTTCCTCTTCGGTTAGTCGTCGAGGCATACCTTTTCCACTAACCCTTCCAACTTGTGTAAATATGTTTGGGACTTCCACTGGATAAGTCTGTGGCACACCACCATCATCATGTCATTCTGGTGTCTGCTTTTAGTTTTACTGAAGATGAAAAGTATTAGCCGGCAAAATTTGACCTCTCTTCATTAATGCTCTGTGCGACAATAGAACCTTCAACTCTTGCAAGATTTTTCACCTTCTTATTTAGGTGGAACATATATCGTTCAAAAGAATACATCCATCTGTACTGAACGGGTCCTCCAAGTGCTGCTTCCCTTGGGAGATGAATAGGAAGATGTTTTATAACATAAAAAAATCTGGTGGAAATATTTTCTCAAGATTGCATATGATAACGGGTATTTTTTCCTCTAAATTTCGGATACTGCCTACTGTAAGTGATCTCGTGCACAGATCTCGGAAGAACGCACTAATACTTGCATAATGGACATAAAAGTACTTAAAATAAGTATTATATGTACATATACAATTAATATAAATAATAAGTTACTAGTAATTAAATTTACCTGTGATAGCTCCATGAATGTTTTTAGGTAGAAGTCCGGCAAAGGCAAATGGAAGGAGGCATTGCATAAAAACGTGGCAATCATGACTCTTCATCCCACACAACTTACCTTTCCACTATCATCGCAATTACGCAGGTTAGATGCATATCCATCAGGAAATTTGTCACTTTCCTTAATCTAGTTGAAGAATTCTTCTTTTGAAAGCGCATCTAATCGGAAGTTGGAGGCAATGATATCTCGTTTGTCATTACATGCAGGTCTTTACGAGAACAACTATTCGGTAAGTCTAATATTGCCTTCAGACTATCTTTGGTCTTCCCTTGCACATTAAGTACAGTATCCATGATGCTGTCGAAAAAAATTTCTCAATGTGCATAACATCAAATTTATCCCGAAGTAGATTGTCCTTCCAATATGACAAATCAAAGAAATTACTCTTCTTGTTCCAATTGTGGTCTTCATGCCCTTGGGCAGGAACATGAAACCGTCTTTGTCAGCACATGAAACCGTCTTTGTCAGCACCAAAATTTCTTAACTGGATTATATCTAAACCTGTAGGCTCTGGAGGTGGAGCATCTTAAATTTTTTTGTTCTTCCTAAACAATGTTGTACTCCTCTGATATGGATGATCGGGGGGGGGGGGGGGAAATCATCGATGACAATCGAACCAAGAAGTCTTTCGTCAGTGTTATATTGACAGTACGTACATGCTAATTTTTCGTGAGTGTACCATCCAGATAGCATACCATGTGCCGAAAAATCACTTATCGTCACATAAGAACCGCTTGCATTACAAAATTATGTTGTAGAGAAACATCGAACGCTTCAACGCCATATTTCCATAACAGCTTCAACTTAAAAATTAGTGGCTGCAAGAAATATCAAGAGATCACTTGGGGTGCTCTGGTACAGGGACGAGTATCGTGAGGAACAAAAACTCTTGTTTCATGCACAAACTATGTGGCAAATTATAAGGTGTGACAATTACTGGCCACAAAGAATATTTCCGCCCATGCTTACCAAAAGGGCTGAATCCATCCGTGGATAATCCAAGGTAGACGTTTCTTGACTCAGACACAAAACTAAGATAGAGCTTTTGAAAATGTTTTCACGCTTCTGCATCGGAAGGATGCGCAATCTCTCCATCTGAGTTGTGTTGTGCATGTAATCTCATGGGAGCTGTTGTTCGCTCGGATTGATATAACATTTTTAACCTCTTTTTTAATGGCAAATACCACATCCTTTAATGTGGAACAGGTACCCTGCCACTTGTTTCCTGATACCAAGGTTTGTTACAAAATTTTTACTTCAAAAAATGTTCGTCGTTCCTCAGAATATCATACAATTGTCGATGCAGACATCGATCATTTCATATGGTAATCCAAGCCCGCCTACAAGTTTATGAATCTCGTAATATGAAGCCGGTGAGATATTATCTTCAGGTAAAATATCTTTACCAAAATCAGTTATCGCATCCACACAGTCTTCGGCTAAATTAAAATCCGTTTTATAGTCATCAACCTGCTTGCGGTTGATAAAGGCGATAAACCCTCTCTACATCCTCCATACAAAGGTTGCTTAGCTGCATCTAGCATATTCAAAAACTTGTGGGCTTCTAAATGAGGTTCTTCTATTCTATTACCATTTTGAACATACGATGCTATGTTTTCTTGAAACGCATCATTCACCATCTGAACAGTACTACCTAGGTTTGCATCATTCACCATCTAAACTTCCGGTGTTGTTTCTTCTATCTTACCAGAAGCATTGCTGTAATAATGTACCATTGAATCAGTTTCTCCGTGTGTATACCAAATCTTGTATCCCGGCATAAACCTATTCCTATACAAGTGATTCCATAGTCTTCTAACAGAGTCTCATCTGTAATTCCGACATATAAGACAAGAACAATAGATTTTACTATTTTCAAGTCTCTCACTATTCTTTGTCGCAAGGGTCATAAATTTTTGAACACCACTTGCATACTCATCGGTTAGTTTTCCCAATGTTGGATCAAGACGAGGCTTATCCATCCATGATCGAAAATAATTATAGGGGTTTGACTATTTTAAGTACCGGTCGAAAATCTGTCAGAAATACCAACCTATTTTCGACGACATTTTAACCATCGGTTATTTTTGAGTTTTCGGTCAGGATTCTGTTAAAAAAAATTTTCGGAAAAAAACCCGATGGAAATTCCGTCAGAAATCGTGATTTTTTTTTGTAGTGGGTGTATTATGAGCAGATTAAACATATTGAGGCTGAATGTCATGCCGTTCGTGATGTTATTCGTGATGGACGTATATCTACTATGCATGTTAGTACGAGCGATCAAATTGCAGATTTTATTAACAAAACTGCTTGGTTGACAACAGTTTAAGCGATTAGTGTCGAAGTTGAGCATTGTTAATCTCCATGCTCTAATTTGAGAGGAAGTATTGGATCGTAATATATTGGATTGGGTCTTGTGTATATATTATGTGAGGGTTCACCGTCAATAGGTGATGTATATAATTGTGTATGAGTTGATTTTCGAATAAGAAAGCACATTCTATCTTTTCTACAACTAGCAATCGATGTTAAAATTAGAATACAGAAGACAAAACTAGCCATCATCTGACCGATTATGAGTAAAGAATATGTAATAATTTTAATATTTTTCCAAGTGCTTTTTTTATCTTGGGATGTTTAGATGTTTAGACGACAAACAAAAATGATAAGTTAAATGTGTACGTTATATATAACTAGGTGGCTGGTCCGC